GGTTCGATTCTCGTGTATAATTTTTTTTTTTAATTCATAAATACTTATAATGTATTTATTTATTTACTCATTCATTTATTTCTTATTATTTATTTATTTTAATTTAATTTCTACTATTCCAAGTCTAATATTTTTATACTTTTGTTGACAATAACAGCGCATTCTTGACACCTATGTGTCAACTTTCCCATCTAATTGTTATCACTAACTGGTGACTGATCTAATTCTCACTAGGAGCGTTTTTTCTATCGGAGTTCTTTTTCACTCACTTTTTAACAGTTCGTTTCTAAATTTCCACACAAATAGACGTATTTGTGTAGTAAAACTTATTTTGAAAAATTATTTTATAATCAAAAAATGTCGTCAAGAGAAGCAAGTTCTTTACGTTGTGAGGAAAAAACTGTTGATGATAACTTTTTATACAGTGATGTAAAATACTAACTTGTAAAGTGCAAAACTCAAATATAACCAAGAAAAACGAATATAATTTATTGAAGCAATATTATATAATTAAATAGCATTATCAGATGTACATGATCGTGAATGATACTTATGATAAAAACATTCAAAACAAAAATTCTGTCTACACCAAGAACAACAAATAAATGCTGCTTTTTTAAAGAGGTAGAGATTGGTTCAGTTAAGCTTTTGTTTAAGTAAAATTTCGGCTCTCATCAGTGTTTTGTTTATGTCCCCAATTCCCTAATCGCTTAATTATTTAACTATTTCTTAAGTAGAAATAAGTCGAAACCAGTTACTTTGTACTCGAATATTTGTAGTCTCAGGAAAAAAGTGGAAAGACAAATTTTTATGACAAATGGATACATAAATCGTAAATTCAAGGAAAGTAAATTATAAGCTTTTTCTGTACCTCGTGCATCTCATTCATTACATTTAGTTGTAAATGATGCTACCAAAGTAACAGTTAATTTTTTAACATTATACAAGAATTGTACACATTTTTTTCTACATTTTCTTATAGATGGGACATACGAAATTGTAATATCACTGGTTTAACATTGAAATCTAGGAGTAATATAAAATCAGAGAGCAGAATAAAAATATCAAATATTTAATGGATTTTTTTTAAACTTCTGTTAACTATACAGAACTATCATAAAAACATACCAGTAAATTTTTATCGGTTGGATTAAGTTATAAATCTACTCATGATTCACATAATCGGGCGAGGATGGCCAAATATCTAGCGGGCAGGCAGCTAACAGCCCACAACCAGTCCTGGATAGAATTGGATACAGTATACATGTAGCATCCAGCCAAGGTCCTAGGCTTCCACTGGCTAAACTGGGTGAGGTTGATGTAAAGCGCATGCACGAATCTGGCTTTTTGGATGCTGACAATATGGCGCTTCCACTCCACCACTAATATTCGAATATACAATAGCAATCTTATCTTTTTTTTTCACATGTAGTATAGAAATTTGTAATAAGATACATAATGCGGTTATAATAAAATATTGTGCGATTATTTTCATATAATTAAAATTAATATGTATTTATTTTTTAGAAAATACAAGGGAAGCGGTGCATCCACTGCTTCCAATGACAGCACACTACTGATGTTTTTATGTTTAGAGATAAACACTATTCCAACGTTACATTATTTTGTAATAGCTAGATTTCAGTGATTTTGAATGCTCCTAATCATATATCATTGTATTTGTCTTACAAGGAGAGGGCCGGACATTTGTGTCTCTGATTCAAATAAAATTTGGTGAGCATGTAGCTCTACATACAAACAGCTCTTTGTCCAAATAATGGGATCCATATTAATTTTTAGATATGGTAGTATTGTGTATTTGAAGTGTAACAGACATGAGCACACGAGGAAACTGTCTGTAAGATTAACAACTTAAAAAACACTGTGACAATGCTACCCTATTTTTGTATCAGAGTTGTCTTTTTTGTACATTTTCAGTAACATCTAAAGCTTATTTGCTTATGGTAACATAGTATGTAGCCGTGAGCAAAACTATCTGAAAATAAATAGGAAGAAATAAAGATTTTATTTAACCACATAAGAGAGTTAAATCTACAGAGACTTTGTTTTCACTAAACAGGAAATGATGTCACATTTTTTTAATTTCTTGTTTTATAAGCTTTAAACACAAGGAATAACTTAATAATAGTAATAATAATGCTAATGATAATAAAATAAGTTTGTTACACACAAAAAAATCATGTAGGCTCGAACCTACATCCTGTAGCTCCAGTGTCTAGCAACTTATCCACTTGGCTATTGCCATTACAAGAAGAAAAACTTTGAAATACTTAAAAGCTAAACGTTCAATTTTCAGAGGCCTATTTTTTGGAAATGTTTGAGAAGCGAGTCCTATTACTTGAACAAGGAGCTTTTTGTGTTTAGGACTACATGTTCATCAACTTTTGTTTGAATCGGAGACCCAAATGTCTGGCCCTCTTCTTGTTAGTAACTGTTATCAATAAATAAATACACACACACGACATTGTATTTAAGGAAAATTAAAGTGACCTTTATTTCATCTTGATGTGTCCACTAAAGATCAAATTATATTTTAGTTCAAATGAATCTCTCTTACAACCTTCAAAAAATAGTATCTTGATAAATCATTTATTTTGAGATATTTAAGGTGGCAATAGTTATAATAAAAGTTTTTTAAACAGATATATATCATGCAGATATATATATATATATCTGCATGATATAAAATAATGAAATTATATTGTAGGGTGTCCCTTATTTTTTGAATTTTTTTTTCTAACACATATGGCCTAGTTTTGTTTATTTTGCCCTTAAATACTTGCACAATAAATTTCAGCTCATTGTGGTCACTAGAACCCGTGCCGACTTGCATCGAATCACGTCCATACATGTTGGCTAGAGAAGTGGCGCGTATTTGCTTTGTTCGCCATTCTAATCCAACTCGTCGGTCTATTAACACATATAATTTTATTTTCACAGATGTCAGTGGAATTACAAAGCACTAAAAAACATATTTTCTTAGTCGGAGAGATAAACCACCAAATCACAGGTGCAAAATTACCGTCAAATTGGCAAGTACTCGCAGTTTTGTTTTTTTAACATTCGCGAAGTTAAATTAACTGTGAGTGAAAGTGCAAATCTTGTAATACGCAAGTGTATCATATTTTGGGAAAAAGCTAGAATACCTTCAAAATCTATACCTGTGTCAAGAAATGTGGATCTTTATCACATATGGAAAGAGTTGCAAAAAAACAATAAGAAAACTCAAGATCTTTATAACTGCTGTGAGAAAACTTTCCAAATAGATTAAATGACTTATTTGATATTGCACACACCGATGCCCTCAAACTTATGACAATAGAGGAAGATAAAAATTCTTACAGAAACTGTGAGAACCAGGGCGTCTGGGCTGCTTGGCAGGTGTGGATAAAAATTGGCCGAAAAAGAAGAAAGGGCAAGGCAAAGAAAAATAGAAGTAGAGAGAAAAAGGCTCAAAAATATTTCTATGAAGGCTGCATCGACTTCAATATTGCACGATTTATCACCACTCCAGGAACTATATAACAGTTTTCATAGCTCTGACAATAGTCTGGATGAGCTTTTTTCTCAGGAATCGAATACTGTACTGTCTTAAGCTAGTGTAAAAAGAGGAAGAATTTATTTCATTACGCCTAAACTAGTTGCAGCTTTATACAGATGTCAGTTGAGCATTAGAGATTACGTTTATATTCTTCACGCTACAGTGGAAGCACTAGTGCTTCGTATTGATGAATTTTCAATCAACAAATCTTCACTTCAACGAATTCAGACACAAGTGAGGAAGGACAGAGCAGATGCCATAAAATCCAATTTTCAGGATGATGTGCTAGAAGTAGTCACCATTCATTGAGATGGCAAATTGTTACCTGGCTTGAACATTAGAAGTTCTAAAGAAGAGCGCCTACTGATTCTTATTTCATTTGGAGAGAGGGAACAACTGCTTGCTGTACCAATACTGGACAGTTCTTCTGGTAAACACCAAGCCAAAGCAGTTTCGAATGCGCTCTATGATTGGAATTTAAATGACAAGGTACAAACAATGTGTTGTGACACAACAGCGTCCAATATGGGTTGCTTAAATGGAGCTTGTGTGCTATTAGAACAAAAGCTAGAAAGATAGCTGTTACTCTTTGCTTGTCGCCATCATATATACGAGCTAGTTTTAAGAAGTGTGTTTGAAATAAAAATCCCCCAAGTTACTAACATCCCTGATATTCTGATATTCAAAAAATTTAAAACTTCACAAATGTTAAAAAACAAAACTGCAAGTACTTGCTGATTTGATGGTAATTTTGCACCCGTGATTTGGTGGTTTATCTTTCTAAGAAAATATGTTTTTTAGTGCTTTGTAATTCCACTGACATCTTTGAAAAATAAAATTGTGTGTGTTAATAGCCCGACGAGTTGGATTAGAATGGCAAACAAACCGAATATGCGCCACTTCTCTAGCCAACATGTATGGATGTGATTCGATGCGTGTCGGCACAGTTCTAGTGATCAAAATGAGCTGAAATTTATTGTGTGAGTATTTAAGGGCAAAATAAACAAAACTAGGCCATATGCATTAGGAAAAAAAATTTCAAAAAAATAAGGGACACCCTATTATATAGTTATATAATAATCAAAAAGAAATAGCTTAAAAGATTTTAAGACTTACTATAATTTCTATATGATTACATGTTTTAACATATCTTTTAAATAGTAATGTCTGTTATACATTATAATGTATTATATTAGTATCTTTTATTTTAATATACATTTACACTACATAACTTGAACTTGTTTAGAAATAACCATATTTAAAGTTAAAATGAGATAAAAAAATCTCTTGTTTGTACAATAATCCAAAATTAATTAAAGTTTGTTATTTCTATCTGAATGATTATTCAGATTTTCATTAATCAAAATTATAATGTTTAATTGCAAATCAGAATGTTTTATCTTAGTTTTGTTGATGATCAAAATATATGAATGATAAATTAAATTAAAAGCTAACTGCTTCTTTAGCTAGTCAAGCTCTTTAGAATAAATGTTTATGGCCTGTCTTAGGCTAGCTTCAATTTAAATTTGTGTTGGGCTAACATCAGTTTAAATTTGTGATAGATTTAAACTGATGTTGGTCCGGACAGTCTGGAAGCATTTCTTTTGGAATAAATAATTTGGCTACCAAATGCAGTTGTCACATCTTTATTTATTGTTTGTCATAAAAAACTGGTTCCATGATTTATGCAATATGAAGATCAAAACATATTGATTAAAGTAAGTAAATGTCAAATTATAACCAAGAGAGTGTTTGTAGTTTTGAGTTTATTGTTATTTTAAAAACCATAAGTGCAAATGTAATTAAGAATTGAGCTGATACATGAGTAACTGATTTGAACTGATATTGAACAAAAGAATGATTTCAAAATCATTCTATTGTTTGATACATTAGTTCATATTTTAAAAATACCTTATTCAAATGTTCTGTTTCATAAGCTGTTCCAAAAAGATAGTAAATTCAAAATGTCAAACTGATGATGGTTCTATCAGAGCCAAAAACTTTAAATATAAATTATTAAATTATATTTGTATTTAATTCATAGCTGTATCACTCTTATTTCTGTATATTATCAATAAAACATTCTAAATACAGTAGCCCCTCGTTACATCACACTTTTTGGGAGACAAAGAAAAAGCATGATTATCCAACGGTGCAATATAACCAAATACTAAAAATTATGGACTTTACTAAACAGATTATACATGCTATGGAATCTCTATCCTCTATTGTTTCATCAGCAAGTGTTTCTGATATAAAATAAGTTTAGTTCTCAATACTGAATTTTATTTTTGGTTATATTGTATTAAATGACATTTACATAAACATCGATACCATGAATGCCTATTTAGTATTATTGTATTCTATTCTACATTGCATTTAAAGAAAAATACTGTTGATATAAAAACAAAATATCAGTTACAATTTTATTATACAACACTATATTTCATAATAAATTGTTTATTAAAAATTTGTGTAATTTATATTTTTCAATAAAAATTATAAATACAGTAATTGAAAATTTAAAAATAAATACTTAACATAGAACATCAAAACTTAATTACAGAGTAAAAATTCTCTAAAAAGCAAAATAAAGTTACTACTGTATAAAAATTTTAGAACTTTCTGTTCAAAAATAAAGAAATCTTTTCCTTACACATTATGCAATTTCACATCTTTATGTGAATTGACTATATTGTACCAATTTATATAAAGGTATAAAATTTCAAATTCACAGAAACTTGTAAATGAGGAGGCAGTACTTAAAACCATAAACAACTTTTAATATCAAAAGGAAACATCAATGATAATTGATCTGTCCACCTGTTTTGCTTCTTTAGATCTTGACAAATTCATCTGCAGTGGTAGTTTCAAGGGCAATGGTAACAATAAAATACCGTATTTCGTTGCAAAAAGAAATTCACTGGCAATTGATAATTTAAAATTTATTGACTCGAGTGCTTTTAGAGGCCAAAAAATGTGATATATATCCGAATATGTGATATAACAAGGGGCTACTGTATTTTATACATTTTTGATAATGTTAATTTAATATTATATAAGTATACACATGTACACACACAGTAGATATTAACTGTATTTGTTATTTTATAATGTGGGTTCAAGATCCTTTCTGGAGAATGCAAAGAAATGCTTAATTAATATTATTATTTACTATTGAATACAACTACTGTATTGAATGTGTGTAATATTCTATTCATTACTTTCAATATAACATAAAATTTACAACTTCAGTGTTTATTTCGTTATTGCATTGTAAGTTATCATTGTTCATGACAGTATTGTCACTTCTTTCATCAATATTTGATATTATTTAGTGGTATTATTGTGTGCTATTTTACTTTTGTTTTGTTTGAAATATAATTAGACTGAAATTTTCAAATTGCAGACCTATACATTCCCATTATAACCTGTCTTCCCATCTAATCTTTGTTAATCTCAAGAATGTTAGATTAGTTAGATCAGTTAGATCAGTGTTTCTCAACGGGGCGATATCACCCCCATGTGGGCGTTTTTCCATGTTGAGGGGGCGATTAGTAACAATTTATATTGGGGGCCATATAGTAAAACATTATATTAAGAATAACTATATATTTTATTCGTTATATCGTACAATAATTAAACAAATAACATACTAGTCACTAGTCTATTCAATGCAGTATGAATTTGGCGTTAGTCTTGGCCCTCAGCATGGGAATTTATAGTAAAGGGGGCAATACTACGTAACAGTTTTATTGAAGGGGGCGACGATTCGTTAGAGGTTGAGAAACACTGAGTTAGATGGATGAAAATCCATCTAACTCCATTCTGTGGTGGGCCATGCCCATATGGCTCAGCTGAATGGTGATGTCATAACTCATCACAGAGAGCAACATTTGATATGCAATCCTATGCTGTAAATGTTGTATCTCTGAATGATGCTGCTTAGTTTCTTATCATGCTCACCATCAAGCAAAGAGTTATTCTTGTTCAGAAGAGTCTGGATGTATCTCAAAAATGGAGGACACCCAGCACCTCACCTAATAAAGTGAAAGATGAATTTCCTGTATGTGATTTACTGTGTATCTGAGGGAAAACTCAAAATCAAGTGTATATAAAATGAGAGTTTATTAAAATCTTTGGTAACTCTCTCAATGCCTGTGCAATGTGTAATCTGCCTGTGATGTTATTACTTCATTCTGGGAAGCTCCTCCCATTTCTCTGTCCACCATAGAACCACTTTATGATTGCACTGTATATATAAACTTAAGTGATTTCCATTAAAATTTTTTATTCTTACTTTATAGAGTGATAAATTTGATATAGAATTGATCTTTTAAATATAACTGAGATCAAAAATATATCACTCAATCCTCTAAGGTATAGAATATTCATGTGATCTCACATTTTAAAAATTTAAAAAATTTATATTTTGATTCATTCTGAAAGATTTTTAAAATTAAAATTTGATTAAAAATTGTAGCCTGGCATTGTGGTGATGTCACAATAATTATATAATAAATTTTTGTTTAATAAAAAGTCTTGGTTTTATTAGAATAGAATACATTCTGAGAAAATTACCGATCGGTAGGCTTTTAAGAAAAGTGTAGAGGTTGCAAGAATTATTTTTACATAAAAAGGAGAGAACATCTTTTTCAAAAGTTTGAGAACCACTACTTTAAACTATAATAATGATAGAATGACAGTGCAGATTTGTATTTTTATATAATTTTAAATATTCCCTACTATAATTTAAAATGTTTCTTCTCGGCATTTAATATTATAATTTATCGAATTATTTTAATTGGTTTTTAATTTTTATTACAGAAATCAAATGGAGATGTCTCATACTTGTAGAGGAACAATTAGTTTAGTCAGTGCTGTTATTCACACAGAAGACTCGTGTAACTTTGTAATTTCTAATGGCGGAACACAAACATTCCATCTGAAGGCAACAAGTGAAGTGGAGCGTCAGCGCTGGGTTACTGCTTTAGAATTAGCAAAGGCCCGAGCTATTCGTATGATGGAATCAGGTAAACTTGTTTTAAAATTGGAATGAAACCTAATTAAATTTTAATGAAAATATTGATAAATTGAAATGCTTAATAATTGGTTGTAATTAATAGAAATTGTTGCTAAATTTTTCTTTCTTAGAATTTGACAAGAAAGCATAAAAGTGCCTATATTATAAAAATGCATATTATACAAACATGCACAAATAATTAACACTTAATTAAACTAAACCACTGTTGTTTATAGTGTAGCAAATTCATTTATTTCTGATAAAACTGATATGATAATTTCTAAAGAAAAGATTAAAATTTTCTTTAAATAGTATTTGAATTTGATCAATCATTGAAAATAATTGTTTTAATTTTTTGTTTATCGTTATTTTTCTTTAAACAAAATTTTGTAAACTATTAGCTCTTAATTAAGTGTCATTGATAAAGAATCAAAGAAAAAATACTGGATAAGCTACTAAAGAGAAATTTCTGAATTTTCTCTATAATTGAAGTGGAGTATTAGTGAAGTTTATTATATGATGCTTACAGAATTGTGTTTATTCATTGAATTTGCCATTTTTCATTAATTGAGATGAGGAATCCAAAAATATAATAAAAAATGAGGGTCCATGGCTTTGTTTTCAAGATATAAGGTCATTTAATGAGCACACATGACAAAGCAGTATCGCACAAATTGCGTGACGTTGTCATGTGATTTTTTACCGTCGCTAGCATGTTTTGTATGGGCTTATAGAATCGACTTTGTCCTCAAAATTTAATGGATTGATTTTGATGAAACTTTGCCATTTTCCATTAATTGAGATGCGGAATCCAGAAATGTAATGTGGGTCCATTTAAATGTAAAAAATCTCGCAACAAATCACTTAACTTTCCTGGCAACATTTAAATTCTGGTGGAGCTATCTGTTACAATATTTCATTAAAAAAACTGTTTACATTTTTAATTATTATAAAATGGCAAAAAGCTTAATTCTGAGGATAGGGATTGGTTTTATAAAAAATTGTAAATACTAATAATGAGTGTAATTGTCATTAAGTCCGACCCTACTTGAGATATGACACATGACTACCCTTTATCTTCTCACTCTGTTGACTTAAACCACAAAATTTAATAGCATGAATCTTTCTAATACACAAACCTCCCTGCAAAATTTCAGAAATTTTTGACAAAAAGCATGGGAGTTATTAAGCTTCAAAGAGTGTGAACAAAATCATGCTCTTTCACATGCACATTAATTTCCATACATACAGAAAAAAAATCCTGAATGTTTTTGCATTTCTCGACATTTCAAGGTCCCCTAAGTTGAAAATTTTTTAAATCATGCCGGGTCATTTTTTTTACCAATTGCCCTACTTTCCCTCTGTTATATGTATCAGAGCCAGGAAAGTAAAAATATGAGTCCTTGACTTTGTTTTCAATATACAAAGATATTAAAGTGACATTGTTCGTGGTCTCTGTGATGAGCGCATCTAATGGAATTTAGGCCTAGGATCAAAAATAAAAACAGTATTATGTGCAGCTAACAGAAAATAGGTGAAATAGACAAATAAAACACAAGAACAATGCAATTATTATCAATTGCTTTGTTCTTGGATTGCCTCTCCATGTCGGCATATGCAAGGATCATTTCTCCATACCCCACCAGTGCAAGGATCGTGTCTCCCATGGCCAGCAGGTACAAGAATAGCCTCTTCTGTGTTTAACAAATGCAGGAATTGCTTACTTCCAGCTCTGCTTTAATTCTATGGTGATACAACAAAGTCGCATGATATCCTAATAATTTTGTTGATAGAATAAAATAATTATTTTGTATAATCATTTTAATATAAAACCATGAATATTTTCACTCAGTTCTTTATTCATCTTGTTGTGTTTGTCATGATATGATATTATGCTGCCATTGTTTTCTTAGAGTTTGTAATTTTCTTTGTAATTCTATAATTATGATTAATTTAAAATTAATATTAATTATTTTATAGCCTTTTGTTTATTTTTGTTGTATTGGGGTGGCAATTATTGTCCTTAGGACTTTATATTAATGAATAGAGAATCGTGAATTGCTGACTGTTGTAAGTTTTCTTTCACTGTTCCCATTATAATTACCTACTGAATAGTGTAATAACATAGAATCATTTTAACATTTCATCTGTTTCTTAGTGTAATTGAGTACAAAGTCATGTGTTCATATGACAAATTGTAATTACAAATTTATGTAATAAGTGATGCTAACAAGAACTTACTGTTTTAATCAGAGTAAATTTACTCTATATAGCTTGCTTCAGTTAAAATAATACTCTCATATTAATATTAATCTCAATGTTAGATGATAATAACATTTTAGTTATTATTATTTTAGTTTTAATATGAAATCAATATTGTCATGTTGTTTTTTCGAAATAATGTAACAAAATTGATTGAAAGAAAATGTCAGTCATAATTTATGAGTTAAAATGTTACATGTTTTGTTTAATGTCCACTGTTCAAAAATAATAGCTTTAATTGTATTATTGTTTTAACCTGCTTATAAATATTTATTTATATTTATAAAAATATATTATTAATGATATATAAAATTCAGCGAATCCTTGTTAACATATATTTGGATAACATAGCAAATATATTTCTAGCTAGAAAAAACAGAATTTTATTTTAAGTATTTAACATGTATTCCAAATTAATTTTTAAATCTTATTGCTCAATATTTGAGTATAATACAAGTAAATCATGCATAGTTCTAATTGGAAAAAATATATAGNATGAATACTTATGATAAGTCAAGATAATTTTTTTGTTGTACAAAATCCACACTTTTTCGAATAACTTCAAATGCTATGATTAATGTGAGTCAAATATTTAAAAATGCATGGAAAATATATTATTAATGATATATAAAATTCAGCGAATCCTTGTTAACATATATTTGGATAACATAGCAAATATATTCCTAGCTAGAAAAAACAGAATTTTATTTTAAGTATTTAACATGTATTCCAAATTAATTTTTAAATCTTATTGCTCAATATTTGAGTATAATACAAGTAAATCATGCATAGTTCTAATTGGAAAAAATATATAGCAGAAGAAATGTAAGACTACGATACATTATGAAACTACAGTGCAATCTTGCTAGTCAAAATTAATTTTGTTTGTTAGGTATATTAAATACTTGATAACTCAATCAAAAACTTCAGACTAGGAGGTGTTAAAGAGAATTAAGACAAATATTTTAATCAGTGGAAAAGCAAACAAAATTATTTTTGTTTGCTTTTCCACTAACTGTTTCAGCAAAAAACAAAAAGAAATCATGGACTAATATTTAAAACACACTAAATTTGTCTGTTCTTTGACTTACTTTTTTAATACACATCTCCAGTAATTTAAGTGACTATAAAATAATTAGTTCATATTAATGAGAGTGCTTACTGTGATAGATTGATTGTTAAAGTTTTGTTTATTTATTGTTTGAAAGCTAAAATTAATTCCTTTTAATATTTTAGTCTTGTTAGAGTCTATTTTCTTTTTAAATATATCTTAAAATTTATACTAAAAGAACATTTATATACATTTCAAAAGAAATCAAGAACATAAATTACTGAAGTAAAGTTGTTGACATAATTGTCAAATGACTAGAATCTGAAGCTTATAAATATAATTTTAAGTTTCTTTCAATGTTCTCTTACTTTAAATGTTAGATTTATTTTAAAAAATTGTCCGTAGAAATACCACTATATAATGAAATGATAATACTGTATGTATTACACAAATTTTTTGTGTTAATTTTTATTTAAACTTTTTATTTTGTATTTATCATATTATAGTCATTCTGAAAGATAAGAGATGCATATGAATATGAAATGTTTATTTCACAATTTACTATAAAAAATATGATATTGTGGAAGAAATAGATTGTGATATAATAATGTGATAATAGATATGATGTCACAATGACTGAACTTTAAGCACAAAAAATATTTGTTTTTCTAGTTTCTTGGAATATATGCAACAAGGATTTACTATATAATGATCAATATAATTAAACATTTAAAAAACATTTAATTATATTGATGTCTTTTTTAAATTGGCTTTTGTTAAAGTTTTTAATAAACCTTACAGGCTTGCAATGAATATTTACAATTAGCTCAAACACAAGGAAGAAAATGGCAAAAAATGTTGCAACATGAACATGAACAACGTTTAAGGTTAGAGGACATGGTAGAACAACTTGCTAAACAACATTCACATTTAGAAAGAGCTGCGAAGGAAGCAGCTGCTACTTCAGGTGTAAATTCTCCAGGTAAGTTATTATTTTCCGTAATAAATATACAACAATATTAAATATACATTTATATAAAACCATACTTTCCATTTACAGTAACTTACAAATTTTTTTTATTTTTTCTTTTATTAAATAGGGGTCCTTTTAAATTAATTTTTTCAGTTGTTTCTGTTGTAAGTTTTTGCAAAGTAAATGATTAAAGAAAAAAAAGCTATTGTTTTTGAATGTGTTATTAGTGGACATTAAATATTACATGTTTATTTGATCAATAACATTTTTTTTTTGTAATTATGTTAAACAAAATATTCAGAATACAACATTATAAATTAACCAGATATTAATATGCTGCAAAAATATATTTAAAAATTTAATCCTGATTTTAGATTCAATTTATATTTATTTTAATATTTTTGCTTGGATTCAGTTTAACTTTTTATTGTTTTAATATTTTAATTTCAATTTTTTAGATGTTAAGTAGTAATTCGTTAATGTTGCCAATAGACTTTATTTTGAGATTAATATTTGGGAAAAATGCATGCATAAAATAGTGTGTAATTGTGAATGGAACTAGAAATTTTAAACATATTGGGTTGTTTGGAAAGTAATTTGGTTTTTTTAGCACTAGAGGGATTAGTTGTATTTTTACCCACTAATTTCATTCTAAATCGTATTGTCATTATATATTTTGACAGCTGACATTTCAAGGCATATTTGTAAAAAATTTTGTTTGGTTCTTTGCTTTTTTTTTTTCTTTGTCCCCCATTAAATATGGAAAATCAAAAGCAGCATATTTTGCTTTTTCATTACTGAAAAGGTAAGAATGCTGTTAAAGCAAGAAAAAATTGTGTGACAGCTCTGGTTTGTGCTTGGGCCGATGGGCTGGCTTGTATGTTTCCATGTTTTCTTTGCATTGATAACACCTGACAGGAGTCGCCTTCCTTTAAAACACCACTTGGAAGGCACATTTCCTTGATTGCAGATTGTGTTGCATGCCAGTATCTAAAACCAATGAATTGATACACAAGCACATTGAAAAAATTTATTTGCTTTTTAGAGTAATTCATATGCTACTCAGTTACAATTTTCTTTCTTTCTTTTTTTTGCTTGCATAATTTCCATTTGTATAGTATATGAGCTACTTGAAACAAATATTAATATTTTAAACTTTGTATTATATAAGTTATATTTTTTTACAAATGAAAAAAGTCAGTCGAATATTGTGCAATGTTTCATAATTTTTGCTGGGTAATAGCAAAAAACATACCTAGTCTGGCATGCGTTCTAGGTGATGTGACAATATTTGTTTAAATTATAAAAGCTATTTTCTATAAGTGTAGAAAACGTATGTGATACACATAAAATTTTGGTGTGAAATGGCCTTTATAGGTAAATATATTTTGATATGTAAATTTATCAAAGTGTCCATTTTGTAAGAAATTTTTTTAGATACTAATAAAGTATTTTTTGCACTTTACATTTTACCAACAGTAAAATTCGGTGTTGGAGTTGCTAGAGTCAAAAGAATTTTTCCAACTCTGCTCTAAAACATCTGACTCTGGCGACTGACTCCACAACACTGGTTATAATTTAGTTTTATTATTTATTTTTTTTTTATACATTCAGTCATATAAATTATATGTCTGGTATTATTAAACATATATACACCATAACTTTTAAATCTTACCATTTGAGAAATCTTTGTGTTTTAGCCTAATGAAATTATTTTGTAAAATTGTAATAGAAGCAAAACAGAATCACCAATCCAGAAACCTCCAGTCTGTAGAATCAAACAAAACCATAATCCAAATCTAACCAATACAAAACTATAAACCAAAAATCTATAGAAATAAAGGCCAAGAAATTTGTTTTTTTGTCACTATTTTATGCTTGTATGTTCCTGATTATACTTGATTGATGCTTGACTAATTGTCTAATTGTTAGCCAAAGGCCATAGAATAAAATCAATACAGTAATTTTACACAATATTAATAATTGTTGTTAACTTAGTTTTTAGATTTGTTTTTTCAGTTTGTAATGAATACTTATGATAAGTCAAGATAATTTTTTTGTTGTACAAAATATTAAATTGAAAACTATATTATGATGATAAAAGGCATTCACTTCAATAATAAGATAAATTATACTTTATTTATTACAGAATAATTTTTGAGAACATATGTGAGATATGCAGAGGGTCAGGGGTTACTCTTTTCTGACCACTTACGCTGCAACAGGTTGGTAAAGCCAGATCTTATGGTTGTAGGATGGCTAGGAGGGCAAAAAGTGAGTGGGGAGTGCATTGGTAAGCTGACAGGCATCCTTTCAACGACAGTAGACAGGTTTAACAAAATAAACAAGCATTTATTTGAATAATTAAGCTAGGATACAGGAGGCTATAACAATACATAGGATAAATGTGGTTAAATATAAGTTAACTAACAAAAGAACTAAGGCCGCTCTAACAGCTCTATCGGCTATCCTGAGAGAGAGTTCACAAAGCTCTAAATACAAATACCTCTATGAGGATATGACTAATATATGTTCGTTGAATGGGCCGTATGAATTGTAGTCGCACAGGGACTGTAGAGTGGCGATGGAAGTGTGAAGTGTCTGTCATATGGCGATGTCCTTTCGGTCGCTATGTCCGGTGTATGGAGACAAGATGCACACATTGATAAGTATAACTTCCTTTGGTCGCCCTGAACTTCTGGGGGCTCAAGCTTCGTGGAAAGGAGTCACGTGATCGACTTCTGTTGACACTAATGGTGCATTCCGATCAATTAAGTGTCAACTTTCCCATCTAAGTATGAAAACAGTCAGTGACTAATTGTCTAAAAGTGAACAATCGATATACTTCTCACCAAGAGTGTTTTTTTCATCGGAGTTGTTTACAAAGGTTTTTTTTTTTCGACATTGCATAAAAATCGTGGATTTCACACATAAATAGAAATGTCACTTTTAAAATAAAATTTTTAAACAATTTAAGAGTAACTTTAACTTTAAATACAATTTTTAAATCTTAAGTAAGAAAAAGAAAACTGCTGACATAATTTGACTTCTCCTGTTACAAAAATGATTTAAAATGAGTAAAAACACTAATTAATTGTAAGAATTCATATTTACTAATATAAATTTTTTTTTGGAACTTAAAAGCTTTATCCTCAAATTGTCTTAACTCTTTTTTCAGATTCAATTGAACAGCTTTTATAGTGCATATTTAAAATAATTGCTATAGCAATGCATCTTTTTGTAAAACAAATCACTTGATAACATAAGAATAAAAATTAATGAAATATTAAAATTATTACATTAGTAGATAACACTTCAGTATTGCATTACTGGTAAATCAGTTTATCCATAATCAATTATAAATACATGTACTGGTAATTTGATATTTCTTTTACTGATATATTCAATAAAAATAAGTAGATATTTAGTAATGTTTTTAAGCCAGATATTTATTTATATGCACTTTCATGAATGTTTAGATATTTATACATTGTCATAGACATTGTTAGCGCCATTTATCTTTTAAATTATTACTTTGCAATTCTTTTCAGTTTTTAAAGTATCATATTACTCCACTGTGCTGGATAGTTTGAAGATTTGTTTTTTTACTTGTAATAACTAGAATGGAACAGAGTTTTAGTTGAGCAACTGTTTAGTTGACAGAGATTTTTGTTTTCTACAGCACTGGTCTAGTGGCAATTATTATACTAAAAACATCAATTACAGAATTAAAATACCTTATTAAGCTTTATACTTGATTTTATGCTTTTTCAGTTTTGTTGCCATTTTATTACTTTTTGCCTATTGGATGCTCCCAAAATTTCATATACTTTTCAGGCTATAAAGGCCATTATACTTTTAGTGCTTAATGGTAACTTTACTAATTATACTTATTTTTTGATATCTCACCTCCTGAAGTTTGGCCAGTCTTATTGTTAACAGCCTGTATAAAACACATAAACAAAAAAAAATAAAATCAATAAAATAAAAAATAAATAGCTAAATACTACCAATAACTTTCCAAAAAGTAATCTGTGAATCATTTAAATGAAATAACATTGTAAAGTCTTGTTGCTCATCTTTTTATATGCTACTAATAATGAAGTTATGCAATTAGAATTTTGATCATTATTATTAAGTTTAAAATAGTACTCAATGTCTTTAATAGGTATACACTCAGATGATGATGAATTTTATGATGCAGAAGAACACACTGCTGCTGATTTTGTGGTAACTATTCCAGGAAAAGGTCACAGGTAATAAATACACTTTTTTTTATTATATATTCAGTTATTTTATAAATATATTCATTATTTTGAAAATAAAATTTTATATTTTACATGTGACTAGTTTGGCATTATTACTATATATATATATATACATATGCAGTCAGTGTCTGACTTAAGACACTAAAACTAGATGTAGTTTTGGTATGTACTAAAAGTTATTTTTGAGTGCCAGCAATTGGTTGCTCTGCTAATGGCATAATACAACAATTAAAACTTAATACAATACTGTAATGGACAATAAACATGCTTTATATAACAATAACTGGTAAGCTTATTCATATTTAATTATGATTTTAGTTTGTGCCATTATCACTCTAGAAGTGAAAACAAAAATAATTTCTATAGAGCTGCTTAGTCCCCAATTATTATTATAATGTGAAATATATATTAAATTAAATTAATAATAAATTAAATAAAATTAAATTAAGAATAAAGATAAAATTGATTTCATATGAAGTTTGGAATACTTTTCTGTTATGATTTTTTTTTATTGCTTTGAGTGTAGCTGACCTGTGCATGTTTATGAATCTTTGTTACATCATAATTAATGAAAATGTTAAATGTTAGTTTTGAGTGCAATATACAGTAGACTCCCCAATAACACGATAGATACGTTCTGTGTTTTATGAATTCCATGTTGTACGAGTCACTTAAATATATGAGCCAATCACAGCCCAATGCAGTTTAGGGACTATGGTTGTTTGAAAGGTTTTCTTCCATAAAATTAATCGATTCTAGACTAATTCAACTCAACATTTCAAAACACGTATAATTTTTTGGGAATAATCCATATAAACTATACTATAAACAAAAAATTGTAGGATTACTTACCGAGTGTGCACCATTTGACGACGCCATTGCTTAAGCTTGTTTTTGTTGCGGAGCAGCGCATCGAATGGCGGGCGCATGTTTCCTGATAAATTATTTTTCTACAAAAAATTTGCTGAACTTTGGAGACATCATTAATATAAATATAATTTTTATGGACGTTAAATAATAAATGGTTTTTAGTATGTCCACTGCTCGTTTAAACTCAACAGTTTGTGCAATATTTGCTATTGGTCTAGATTCGACCAATCCTGTCATGACATGAGTCAGCAATGACATTTTATTGTATTATACGAGTCTCTTTTAGTGTGTTTATACGAATACAATCGCAATTTTTTTGCTGTTTTATATGAATCCATTTTATAGGGGGTTCTTATCTAAACTGTGTCAGTGTATTGTTTTATGGTACTTATGCCCAGTAACTGATCACAATATACATAAATATGCCATAAGATGTAGACTTGTGTTTGGACTTGGAAACCATACTTTATGATAACCTTTATTTTTGTTTGACTTATGGCCAATTCAAATTGAGATTGAAATTGTAGAATGAACTCATCATAAGTTGAGGACTGTTTTATATATATTATTGTTACCTATGAAATATTTTTAATGCAAGAATATCAAAAATGAAAACTATAAAATGTGATGTTACATTTTTCGTTATCTTTAAAGTATGGAATGTTATTCTGTGATATAAAAAATTTACAATATGATTATCCAGGAACACAAAATTGACAAAATCAGTTTCTTGTTTCTAAATTTGGAATTTATTCTATATCATTAAAAGTGCTCAGCAAGTAAACACAGAAATTAAAACACCTTAATTTGTTGCTGAGAAATATATTTGAAAAACTAATGTTTTCAACCTGATTAACAGGCCATCATCAGGTCTAAAAAACGAAAATTTATTCTATATCAGCAGTTTTTCTTCTTTTAGTCTTGATACCAGCTATCAGAGTTGGAAAAGGCTCTGAATTAAATTGGCAGAATTTGGACTTGATGCATTGTTTCAGTTCTGCTTCGTTTTCAGCAAACCACCAAGTTTTATGCATCATCTGATTCAGCTGGTACCAGAATCATTTAATTAGACACAGCTTAGGAATGTTTGTAACATTCTCTTTGATAATGTAACAGACTCTGTATTTTTATAGCATAGAAATTGCATTGCTATTAATCATATAAAATTCTTAATATATTTGTTTGTTGATACAGAGGTGAGAGGATACTATGAATGCTTGAAATCTTCCTTTTCAACTAATTACTACTCAAACTGACACTTTCTGAGGAAATTTTGCATGGTATTTAAATTTTACCTGTTGTTCAACCCCATCCATACAATAGTATGGGAGTTGTTCTCAGTACAGTTACTTTCATCAAATAGTATGGGAGTTGTTCTCAGTACAGTTACTTTCCATCCTTAACAACATCTAATCTATTTGAAGCCTTGAAATATACTCAAATTTTTTTGCAGCGTAGTCCTTGTGATTTGAATTTTGTATATTTTGGTGCTAATTGTCACTTCTGAAGAACAATATTTCACTCAACTAGTGTGCTTTTAACATATTGATAAGATATTTTGAACTTTCAAGTTTTCTTGACAATTGTCCAACTTTTCCAACAGCTTCTTTTCCCAAACTCCCTTTTGCTATCTGTCATTTTAATTCTCCTTCACCCACTCTCTGGACATCTAGAAACATTTTTTTTTTTTTTTTCATTTGGGGATCATCACTTCCCTATACAGGGATCAGAACACCCCGCACCGCTGTTGCACAACGGGGTTGAAAAAATCCTTTATTCTTAACTATCAATAAACACAATGATTAAACAAAATTACAAAAATAAAATAAAATGAAAACAAACTACTGGACAACTCGTCCAGGACTATTTACAATTGAATAGTTNCATCTATTTTTTACAGTGTTATTGATAAATGCTTAAATTATTATTATTTTAATAAAATACGTCGTAATTTTAGCCCCAAACACAAAAAAAAAGTTTAAGTGGAACTTCTACTCACCTCACTAGACGTACCAAACGCCATTGTCAACCTTCTACATTTGCCAGATGGCGGCGCTCGACGTCCGAAGTTCACGTATTCGCAATGAAAACGTCGGCCCCAATCTCTCTAATATCACTACGAGTAAGTTTAATTAAATAATTTCTGTATTAAAATCGTCTGTTTCTTTATAATGTTATTCGTAAATGTTTAAATACTCATTATTTTAATAAAATACGTCATAATTTAAACCCCAAACACACAAAAAAAGAAGTTTAAGCCGACCTTCTACTCGCCATGCTCGAAGTACCAAACGCCATTGTTAACCTTCTAGATTTGCCAGATGGCGGCGCTCGATGTCCGACGTTCACGTTTTTGCGATGAAAACGTCGGTCGCAACCTCTCTAACGTCTACTGCTTTACGCGCGCGACATTTTCCATCACATAGCGTGAGGCATGCGACGGTCGTGCACGCATTGATAAGGGATAGCGAAGTAAACAAGCGCCAAAATTTTCAATAAATTAATTGTATAATTATGTGGAATTATAATCAATTAGCAGTTGATGCCCGCTGTAATTTGCATTATGTAAAACGTCTAGGAGACAATCATCCCTCTCTCAACCCCATGGTTCCGACTTACCTGCAATTTCAACATAAAAATAGACTTAGGAATGTAATTCGTTCTGAGTTTTAGATAGTAATAAAGATATTTAGACATTTTTATTTACTGTTTAATCATTGGGCTGCAATTTCGAAAGTGCAGAGCTGTAAATTTCCACTGTCGTCCGTCTGTCCGTCCGTCTTTCCTTAATCTCGAGAACGGAGTAACATGAAAACCGAGATCGGGCATGGAAACTTTAGGGCAGGAGGACTGTATACGAACGTCCGATAAAAACCGAAATCACGTGAATTCAATTAAAAAATTTTCCCCTGAAAGGATTAGTTAGATGACTGGTAACATTCAATTGATCAAGAAAAGTATGATGTACAGTACAGGGGAAAACACTACTAATATGAGTTGGAAAACATATATTTTAGATTAAATAAATTAAGAATATAATTAAAAATTGCAGCTCGGTATTGTTATGACGTCACAATAAATAATTGCTCTTTAATCATTAATTTATTGCATGAATCTTAGAAAATGATAGGCTGATTTCCATATATCCAAAATGTCTGCAGTTTATCATGAAATATAGAACTCCCCCCCTTTGTTTTTTAAAATGACTTGTTACATAACATAACGTGCAATAAATTATTATATTAAGCAGTAAAAACTGAATTTGCAAATTAATTTAAATTATTAACTTTTGTGGTTTGTAAGAGAGAAACCTTTAAAACATAATNTTTCCAATTCCTTTTCAATCCTCGTGAAGTTTAAATTATAGGTAGCAGTTCGATCTTTAAAATAATCTTTTGCCATCAAATACAAATTCCTTGGACACCTTTTCTCCCTCAACTGCCATAAAATAAAATGCCACCAAGCATTATCGAATGCACCTCTTATATCCATACTAATCATAACTGCAAACTTTGTCACTTCTAGCACTTCTTTGACATCTTTAATAACTTTATTAATTGCATCCTCTGTCCCTCTCTGGGCTCTAAATCCATATTGTATTTCACTAAGCCTTCCTTCACCTTCCATATACCAATTAATACGTCGAATCATTAAATCATCCAACACCTTACCCATAATGGGCAGGAGACTAATAGGTCGGAAACTGCTAGGATCGGATAAATCTCTCTTTCCTGCCTTTGGAATGATCACTACCTTAGCCGTCTTCCACTTCCTTGGAAAAACTCCAAATTTTAGACACAAATTAAATACTTCTGTAACTTCCTCTGAACTGACTTCCCAAATCGCCTTGATAATTTGAACCACTATACCATCCTCGCCTGGAGCTTTATTTACCTTAATCCTATTAATGCTCTCTTGAATTTCATCTTTTGTGAAAGGAGGATCATCTCTTTCATTATATTCCTCTTCCACCTTCATTCTTATTTCTCTTTGACTTGCATTATCCTCTGTCACCAAATCTCTCGGAAAGAATCTATCCATAAGGAAGGAAACAGAATCCTCCAAAGACGATGTATACCCACTTGGGGTTTTAATTGACGATGTCACCGTTCTTGTTTTCAA